GGACTTGGTCAACAGGATTATACGAGGAGAATTATTTCCTCCCCGTACATTTAGTATGTTTATATATATTGTATATATAATTGTATAATCAAAATTTTAATTATAACTTTAGTCGCACATGCAAGTATGAATTTATAATTTTTTTGGCTCATTAAGCCTCGTAAACAGGCTAGAGCTCGAGTCGAGCCTAAGCCAACTCGGCTCGAGCTCGGTTCATTAATTTTTTATTCAACTCGAGCTTGAGCTCGAACTCGTTAAAATTTTAATAAATAAGCCCAAACGTACTAAAGCTCAGTTCGGCTCGACTCGACTCGTTTGCAGCCCTAAAAACAGAACAAGTATTGGTATCATCTCATGTATGTTACCAATATTATGATAGGAGTAGGTTGAGAATACATTAATATTATAGAAATCACATTTGTGTGTCAAAATATTTTTATCATCTCATTTGTCATTATTGCATTGATTCAATAGATCTTTTTTTTTTTTTTTTTTGTTACAGGAAAATCCTCCCTACTCTCCTGCAGGTCCAAGGCAGCTCCCCTTTGTAAAGACACACCAAGTGCTGGTCAGACAACTTGAGGTCCAACCTCCTAACCAACTCTGCTATGCCTAAGAGATTGGCCCAGGAGGGATTTGAACTCATGACCTGGGGGGCTTAATCCTCATGTTCTTACCACAAGGCCACCCATCCCTGGGTTGATTCAATAGATCTTTATCATTCGTGTATATATATATATATATAGAAGTCTTTTAGAAGGAGGGTAAAAATGCAGCTTTTAGCTTTTTACTTATTTTGAGTCACATCACCTCTCACATTTTTTACCCACAAAAAGATAAAATATATTTAAAAAGTCAAAAAATTAACTTTTTAAAACATTCCATATATATTACTAATATAATAACACAAAATGATTAGTAAATTTGTTAGTGTGATCACCATAAAATTTGAATGGTGTTAAAAATTTAGGCCTTGTTTGGCAAGTGATTTTTTTAGTTAAAAAATCAAAAAGTTACTAAAAAAGTCAAAAAATCAACAACATATATCAAAAAGTCAAAATTTTTATTTTCTCTCTACTTTTTATACATTTTTTCGTAAAAAGTTAAAAAGTCATCCCAAACATACTAATTTTTTTTACATCATATTTTAGTCAAAAAGTCAAAAAAATACTAAAAAAACATGTTCCCAAATGAGGCCTTATTAACATATTTAGCGACTTTGATCCTTTCTAATATATGTTTGTAATAAAAAAAATTTATATATATATATATAGTATGCACTTTTTGCTACAAAATGTAGGTCTTTTTGCTCTATCATAAAAATATAATGTATAATTTTTTCATCCATAATTTTAGAAATGCATATAATAATTTTGTCATTTATAATTTTTATCATAAAAATTACAAATTATAATTTTTATTTACTATGTGAACCTTTATAAAGGGGCATATTAGTATTTTCCAAACAAGTCAAGAAAACACTTTAAATGGCTGATTGGAATGATTTTTGTTTTTGATTTTTATTTAAAAACTTCATTGGTAAAATGTTTTGTTGAAATTTTTTTTTTTGAAAACTTCTTGTGAAAACAGCCAAACTTTTTTCCAAATGCCAAAAAGTTGATTTGAATTTTGATAACTTTTCTTGAAAAAATAAATAAAAGTGATGGATGATACGCTGTGTTCATGAAAATAGGAATAAATAAATAAATAAATAACAAATAGGTCAAAATTTCAAAAAGTAGGGTGCCAGCTAAGGGAAGTAATTTGAAACAATCATCTAGAGACTACTAATTTAGGTCAAGTTTGGCATTATTAAAAAAAAATAAAAAGTTAAAAAGTCACTATCTTATTTAAGTCACATCATCTTATTTAAGTCACATCGCCTCTCTAACACATCACTTCAAACCCAACCCAAACCCAACTCATATTTCATAAAAAGTCAAAAATACACTTATTTAGTCTTCCCAAACTAGGCCTTAATGGTTCTAAACTCACTACATCATTAGTGGTAATTCTAATTAAAGCTTCCCCTCATTTTCCAATTTGAAAACCAGTAACACCCCTTTATTATATGAAAGTTACAAATTTTAGATAAGTTAATCAAAATTTGAATATTCTTGGCCAAAGTTCAATTATTTAGAACTAAAAAAAAATTTAAAAAAATGTTAAAAATTTTAAAAAATTTATTAAATATGTCATATGAATATGAAGCCCATATCATATAAGTTTTATATGAATCTTACAATCCACATTTAATTAAAATTTAAATACATTTTTTAAAATTTTCTAACTTTTTTTAAATAAAAAAAATAATTATCTTTTGATAAGCCAACCAACCACACAAAAGTGTTGGACCTTAAAGTCAGTGTGATTGATGCTTCGAACCTAACCGTCAATTGAAGTACCCACAATTATTAACCAAGGTAAAGGTAAATAGATATATGGTGTCACATCAACTATAAGACAATGATTTGATGTATGAATTTGAATAAAATTTTTTAAAAATAAAAATAAAAAAAGGGAAAACTAGTGCTAAGTGGAATTTTTAGAAATTAGAAACTAGTGCTAAGTGGAATTTTTAGAAATTAATTATTAATTGATGAAAAAATTTATCATTTCACACTTTAATATTTGTAAAATTTATTATTAATTTGTGAATATTTTTGTAAGTCTACACTAACATAAAAAAATTTCAATTGAAAATATGTGTGAAATATAATTATATTTCATTCATATTTCATTTATTTTTTTTATTTTTATTTCTAAATTTCTAGTCAAATTTATACTACAAACACAACTTAAGAGTAATTGTAATTCTAAAGTTGCTTTAACATAATATTTACATATAAGTTTTATCATTTATGTGTGTGTTAAAATATAATCACACAACCAACTCTGATCTTCTTCCTAAAATCTTAGGAACAAAGTAGAAGAATACGTGCACTAGATGTAATCCACAACCTAAACTAAGGTATTGCTACTAATCAGGAGAAAACTCTGATAATCAAGTCAGTAACAATATATCTCAAAGATAATCACAAAATAACAACTCAACAATTAACTTACAAGTAAAAACGTACATTTGATCTATGGAGTTTTATATAAGAAAATGTGTTATGCTCGTACTAGAAGTCTTGTTTCAACCATAAGAATAACATCTGATAAGAGTTTTTTCGTATCCAATATAAGAATTTGTCTTATTGGGAAAGAAGTTTTTTGGTTTTTTTTGTTTTTTTCACTAAAAGACAAATTAGTTACAAAATTAATAAAAAAATAAATCTAAACAAAATATCACATCAAGCCTCATAATCATTTCACTTTTTCTCTCACAAGCATCACATCCAACCACAAAAAAACATAACTATCTTCCCAAATACAAAAAAAAAATTCTCTAATAATATCTTACAACTAACAAAACCTACAAAAAATCCACTTCCCAAACACCCACTAAGACTCAAGTCCTCCGATTATCTCGGATCCGAATAAACAGGACGAAAATTATGTTCCCTCAATTTAATATGACGCCCACCTAATAATATAATTAATTCATATGTTTATTAATATATTTATCTGTGTTTCTATCATTAACAAAAGCACTAATTTTTTTTATTAGGCATAAAGTAATTATAGAGCATTAAGACACATGAAGGTGGACAAGTTCGCTTGGACAAATTAAATAATAAAGGGGAAATTATCCTTCAGTGCTAATTATTAAAAATTATTATGTATTAATAAAAAAAAAACTATAATTATAATTATTAATATTTATAATGTTTGTAATCATTTGTACTTACGTCTTCTACCTACCTCTGGTAGGTTATTTTCCCAATAATAACAATTAACATGTCAATGGATCTTTGATTTAAAATTTGTCACCGATAAATATACAAATTGTCATGCACTTACCTACACAATCTCTCCTTAACCATATCATCATTAAATGACACCTACCATACATTTTTTTTTCTTAATTTGAGAATGAGTCAAAAAAACATTCCCAATCCACCGAGGTAATCCAGCAAATATTTTCCCACCAATAAAAACCCAAACCGATTTTTGCAGAGCCCTACTCGACAAATAGGAAGAAAAAACTATCCCAACTACAAGCTAAAGTGAAGATAAAACTAACGTTCATTTGGATAGATGTGAATTTCAAATCAAAGGAACTAAGGTCAGATTTTATAAAATATTTGAGAGTTAACTATTATAGTGAATAAACAAACTAGAAAATATGTATTTTAATAACATCTTTGTAGCTAAAAAGAGAATTCATAGCTTGATTTCAAATTACTAGGTATGTATTTCAAATGTATTCTCATATCTAAATTTTAAGCAATTCTTCTTGCTTTTTCCTTGAATAATTAATGCCTACTCCATGCATTTCAAATCCATAAAGACAAACAGATCCTAAAACAAATTGTAAGTAGAGTGCCCCGACCACAACTAGTCTGTCTATCTTCAATATCATTTGCCCCCAACTCAATTTGATGCGACTTGAGGGCAAATGTATATTTCCTTTTCAAGAACAAGAAGTCAACGGACACGAAACGTTATGATCTAGCCTATTATAAAAGATGAGCAATGCTTGGTGGCCCAAAAGGAGATTGGCTCCAATGCCCTGAATTTCACCTTGCCGATCGTCTGTCCAATGTCCGGCCGATCGTCTGGTGAGGAGGTTGACAACCGTGGTCGACAAAGGTGACAACTGCGATAGACAAGTTTTCATCCGGTCGTCCGGGCAAACATCTGGGCGGACGACCGGCCAACACCCATTCAGGCTATTTGAGCCGCTCCTTTTCGGGCCACCAAGCATTTTACTATAAAAGATACAGTTCCACTTAAATTGCTTCACCTATGTTTTACGTGATCAATTTTATGCCCATAGACTTGCTGCTTCATGAATTCAGACCGGATACCAGCAGTTGCATGCAAAGGGAGAATCCATGCTAAAAACTAATTTGTTAAAAAAAACCTGGTTCAGCAAGCAAAAAAGAAGTGAATGCTGCTAAACAGTAAGTTCCGCTTACAAATCTTCAGTGCATCGAATTTACAACCAAAATAACTTGCTTTTCTTTTGGGGGAAAAAAATATTTTTGTTTGCAGGCTTTATACTGAATACTTTCCAGCAATTTACAAATTGCATCTGTCAAACAGTGCTGAGATAAATCGCTACAATGCAACATGCAGAAATGGAGAGAGTTTGGACATCAACTGAGTCGAGGTTCAGTTTAATCATCACCTCTCACAGCTTGTTGATAGGACATCATAGCAGCTTTGTTTAAGCAACATATCCGATGTGTTAGGCCAACTCATAATTGCGCGACCCTGTCACAGAGAGAAGGAAAATGAGTTCTAATTTTTTCTTCTGTGACAGTTTGAAGACATGAAAAGAAAACAGAAGGCAAAACAGTAGAACAAAAATACAGAACGCAGCAAAATTCATCAATCTATATCATCACTTTTGTAAGCTGAAATTTCAACATCTTTATATGATTGTGTTCTTTGGATTAACATGTTATGGCCCTCAACTGTTGTCTTTTTAGTGAAGAGATAAAATTGAACAAACAACATCCAACCATTGTGATTACAAATTACTACCTGCCCATCTAATTGCGCTTTTGCCACCACTTCTCTGAAACATTGAAGAGTCAAGATTCAGTGCTCAATATATATTGATTACTGTTATGTTATCCTTGGGGTGGGTATCTCTGTATCGAGTGTTCCAACGCACCGAGGAGTGCTTCAATCACATTAACTTACTGCCCACCAATGCTCTAATATGTTCACAAAATCAGTCACCCACCAACCAGAGTTTGGTTGAGTTTTCATAATTGTTTCCTAAATTTTTTCAAAAATTAGTTGGTGAAGAAAATGCAAAAAATAAAAACCACTTGTTATTTTCATATGGTTCTCTTTTTTGGGAGAAAATAATTTTTAAAAATTAAAAAATATCTTCTTATTTTGGTGTTTAAACTAGTTTAAAAGTTTCTACTTTTTCAAAAAAAAATTCAGAAAACTAATACTGAAAACTCAACCAAACAGAGCCATTTGGCAGAAGTGAATTGATGCTCTTTTATGGTAGATATAGTTGAGTATAATTACTATTTTTCGGATTTCCCGTCAATTTCTCTGAAGTGTGCCTCTACAAGTAAGCACCTGATAATAAAAGGTGTCACAAGATCCATAAATGGCGTTGTCCCAACAGCCTCATAGCAGCCAGGAGAACAACCAACCCTTTTGTAGAGACAAAATTTGAAAAAATTGAATTGGCATTCTACAAATAAATAAATAAATAAAGAGAAAAGTGTAATTGGTAAGTCGCACAAGACATTTGCACACCTGATCAACCACATGAATGCCCAATGTTCTTGAGCTAGCTTGATGTCAAACAATTGGAACTGGAGTCAACCTTGATTACTCTTGTATTGTACGATCCACAAAACCCACACTTATGGTATAGCCAGTGAAACCGAGAAGTACCCTTCTTATCACAGTCATTGCACAGTATATCCTACATAAGCAAAAATGTATTCATTTAAATTCAAGCAAGATAAGATAAGGGACCTCTCAACAATATGCATATATAGAATGTATGGTTTACCTGACATCGATCCCTGTATTCTTCAGGGAGCTCCTCAGAAGTCAATAACGCATCAAGCATACCAAAGTAGACCTGAATGAAAGGTAAGAGATGAAATCTCAGAAAAAACCTCAAATAAGAATTTCTCAAATTTCTCTATCCATTTTGGTTTGAGAACGGTCAGACATAACTACATCATTTAAATTTTTTGGGAAGCATTTGGATAATAGGTGAAGATCGTGTCCTCAACAAAAAGAACCAGAATAGTTAAAGATAGAAATAAACTTTCCAAACATTCCTAAGCAATGGAGCAAAGGCACTCCCACTTATTGAAATCGAAGGGCAGGGAAGGTAGGTAGCGATTGGGCAGGGAAGGTAGGTAGCGATTGAGCAGGGAGTGAAATTAACTATCAAAAGGTGTCCTACATTCAAGAAAATGTGAGCTTGAGGCAAACAACAGTCTCATTCACCAACAATACACTTAAATTCATTGGGCAATGAATCTAAAGAGAAATCATTAATAGGTTAAAAGTATAGTTTGCTTTAAAAAGGAAAAGGATCTTCTTACCGCTTAATAGGTTAAAAGTATAGTTTGCTTTAAAAAGGAAAAGGATCTTCTTACCGCCATGTCTCCCAAAGATTTGCTACAGATTGGACAAACGTAGTGAGTGCAGGTGTATGCCTGACAAAAGGAACACAACAGAGGTCTCAAGTATTGAGCATTAGATGGAAGATTGTTTTCATTGCACTAAAGGCCAAAGCAACAAAACAGATACAGTAGCAATACCGAAACAATTAAGCCAATAAATAATAGACCTGAAAGCAAGCCGAATGCATAAAATGGCCACAAGGAAGGCCTCTGACAGTTGCACTGGATGTGAACAGAAAATCACAACATATAGGACAGTTTGTTTCCAGACCTTTCTCCCGACACTTGTGGTCTGATAACTTCATTGCCAGGCAACAATTGCACGTCATGCAATGAAAGAAGTCAGCACCAAGTCCCTTTCCAACACGGCATAAATTGCAAGAAGGGCAATGGTAAACTGTCCTGTGGTGAGAAAAGAGTAAAAATAGAGGCAAAAATGTCAGTTTTACTTCAAGTCTTCAACAGAAGTTATCCATATTAGCTGGCAGATCATCACAATTACAACTAACTGAGCCTAAACACTAAAATACCAGAATTTCAAGATCCTCATTTGACATGGTGACAAACGCTAGACACACAAGCATCTAATCAATCACCACTCTCCCAATTCTTTAAATTTATCCTCAAAAAAATTTTGCATTCATTTCCAACCAAATTACCCAAAAACATACAAAAAGCACACAACTCCAAAGGACCCAAGCCTTCTTATTACGGCCAAAGCCCCCATAATCAATCAAAAGCATCTGAAACATCCACCAACTGAAACATCTTGTGCATAAGGCTAAAACCACTGGACAATACAAAAATAAATGATTAATCCTCATTCCTCCCTTACACATAATGCACCATTGTGGAAGTAAATGCCAATTAGGCCTCCTTTTCTGAATCATATCATTGGTATTGAGCTTATTGTGTGCATAGAGGGTGACATACGCACTTTAAATTCATGAATTGGAGAGTCAAATTCGTGAATTCTCTAATTATGATCTGTGAATTCATTGTCTGAGGGGGCAGATTCACAGTGATTCTTTTTTCTTATTTCAGCCAATCAATTGATGAGATAACAGTTACCTGCACTACTGACACCGCTGCACATGCAATAGAACACAACCATGGTTGTTAATATAGGGATCCTACGTAGGATTGGTGAGAGGACCTCATGGATCATATCGTGAACCCTACTTTCTATTAAAAATAAAATAAAAATGCAAATAAGGATACTGCATATTAAGTGGGTGTTTGGGAAGTGGGTTTTTTTTTTAGGTTTTTTTAGTTGTAGGATATTGTAAAAAATTATGTATTATTGATTGATTGATATCTTACAAGATTGTTGTGTACAATTCCTATACAATCTATATATAGAAGAAAATGTGGTAGTAGGTGTAGTGGAGGTGATAGTGGGTTAGGTGAAGTGGAGTGTGTGGTGAAGTGGAGGTAGATGAAGTGGAGTGTGTAGTGGAGTAGGTGAAGGTAAAGATGGGAAATTCTAACAGCCCCCCGCAAACTCAAGGAGGATAGAAACTAACCAACTTGAGTTTGGAGAGAGGAACAAAACAAGAAAATACATAAAAATAAAAAAGGATAGGAGACACTGTATGGTCGTGTCAGACCATTGGTGAAGACACTGAATGGTGGTGTCATAACGTTGTAGAGGACACTGTATGGTGGTGTCATAACGATGTAGAAGACAGTTTATGGGGTTTGATTGATTGTATTTTGATATATATTACAATGATTCATGATTCCTATATATATTACAATGATTCATGTTAGAATTTCCCATCTTTACCTTCACCTACTCCACTACACACTCCACTTCATCTACCTCCACTTCACCACACACTCCACTTCACCTAACCCACTATCACCTCCACTACACCTACTACCACATTTTCTTCTATATATAGATTGTATAGGAATTGTAATTTATATAATCTTGTAAGATATCAATCAATCAATAATACATAATTTCTTACATGGTATCAGAGCAGGTTTAGAACCTAATATTTTTCGCTTCCCCGGCGGGCGGCAATCTCGCCTTGGCCGCCCGCCGGACAAACCCAAATTTCCCTAATTTCTTCTTCAATGGCAGTGACGAAGAGTTCGAAACCGATCTTTCTCAAATTTTCACTTCTCTGCTTTCTCTCTATCCTCTCTTCGGCACTCGCGATCACGCCCTGGACTGGGTGAAGATTCCAACTCCAGGTCTTGGTGGTCCGGCCGCATCTGGGGCCGCCACGGTTGCCGCTCCACCGTGTCTTCGTCTCCCCCTTCCTCCGCTGCCTCCAAACCGCCTCCCAAGTCATCGGCGGCGCCGGCGATTGGTGGAGCTTTGAAGCCAAAATGGCGTCAAGTCTTCTCCATCTTCTTCCATAAGTTTAGAGAGTTTGGTCTGCTTTTGAGAGAGAGAGAGAGGAGCTTTTTTTTTCAGACACAACCCACAAAGATTCAAGCTTTTTTAGAAACCTCAAAAACAAACAGTGATGTTCAGAAAGATTAGTCTTTGACTACTCATAATAACGCTTTCAAAGTGACGAAAAAGATGAAGAGGACTGGTGCGATGATGGTTGTGGTGTGGGTTTGTGTCTCTAGTTGAGTTCTGAACAAGAAGAGACACTTCTGAAATAAAAAAAAAAAACAGAGGGCTCAGATCAAATATTTTGAGCGAGAGAGAGAGAGAGAGAGAGAGAGTTGGGTGATGGCGTGTTTGGTTTGCTTTTGCTTTTTATTATTATTATTCTTATTATTATTATTATTATTATTATAATATATATATCTTAAAAAAAAAAAAAAAAAAAAACATTTTACACATTTGCACAACAGCCCATATTTTATTTCTCTCAGGGATCCACCCCGATCACAATTTTACATAAAAAAAAAAAAAAAAAAAAAAAAAAAAAAAAAAAAAAAAAAAAAAAAAAAACCAAAAGACAACACCGAAAGCTTTGTTTTCTTTTCTGCAGACGGCCACCCACCGCCATCACTTCTTCGCCTATTCCGCCGGCCTTTTCTTCTTGCCTCCGTCCTGGGCGGCCCTTGACGGTGTTGCCTCCGTGTTTCCTTGTCCACCGAGCACGTTCACTCCCCCATACTCCTCCACTGCAGCATATGGCGGACCTCCAAAAC